TCCACTATCTTCTTCAGTGACTTCGACATTTTCTGCAAGAAAATATTAGCTAATGAAAGACCTGAATCAAGCAGAGAATCTTACGAAGAGAGTTTTGCCTCAAATAGCGGGTCAAATCTAGTCATTACAATCATATAAAGAACTCACTCAGTATTTACCTAACTGTACGGAAAATACGCAAACATGCAGGGAAAACAGAAAACAAATATCCAAGCCCTCCGGGCAGTAAAAACAGATATTTTTGAAACAGGACACTCGCTCGCACCCAACAGGAAGTTGATTGTATGTCTGTAAAACTCTCGCATTCCTTCCATAAAAGGGTATTTCCGGGGTCCGGAAAAGGAAAAGAATGTCAGGCAGAACTCTGTTGCGTTGTCCAATCAGCTGCGGAATCGTTGAAAAAAGGCACATATATATCCAATCAGAACGAGCGCCGCTCCATCGGTGTGTATCCTTCGACCAATCAATGAAAATGTACAAGAGACGTGTGGAAAAGCATTCTTGATTGTATGTCTGTAAAACTCTCGCATTCCTTCCATAAAAGGGTATTTCCGGGGTCCGGAAAAGGAAAAGAATGTCAGGCAGAACTCTGTTGCGTTGTCCAATCAGCTGCGGAATCGTTGAAAAAAGGCACATATATATCCAATCAGAACGGCGCCGCTCCATCGGTGTGTATCCTTCGACCAATCAATGAAAATGTACAAGAGACGTGTGTAAAAGCATTCTGCCAACAAGCCTTCGTTATTTCTTAGCTATTAACCTGTTTGATTAGAACAATAATATACGTACAATATTATAGGAAATTGTATAACGTTAGGCATATCTGAAGACACTGACACTGAACGATTCTGTGATATAAGTTCTTCAATGAGTCATAGTCGTTTTATTTTAATCTTATATTATTTTAATATAGGACCCAGAAGTTTTCAATTAGACTTTATTTAGTTCTTTCCTTTGGATTCTAAATAGGCCTATTACGCACCCCTGTCATGAAACTAAAATCCTTGCCCCGTATTTTTCAGTTTTATAAATGTTTTTTTTTTCTTCATGATAAAATGACCACTAAAGTTAGTAGGCTACAGTTCAAAAAAGTTTACATATAAATCACATTGTGCTTAGTCTTGCAGCCTGTTACAAACAAAATTAATTTCTTGTCAACCATATTTGTTTGTTACATCTAATATTTCATAATTATTATAAATAAAATTAATGTTATAAAATGGTAAATCTCACAAAAACCTGTCATGAACATATCCAAGCATATTGTACCCCCAAGTTAAATGTAAATATATATCATTTTTATGGCCAGTATAATGACAATTACTAAAATAACTAAAACTAAAACCAAAATAATAAAAACTATATAGACATTAAAAAATATATAAATAATAAAAATGGCAACACACAACAAAATTACAAAATACAAATACTTTAACTAAAATTCAAATGAATACGGAAATTACAAAAATGAAAACGAATTCAAAATATTAAACACAAATACTGGTATGTCCATTATACTAGAATAGCATTGGCTTTTATGCATCTGGACATTTTACTTATTATTTTACTTTTTTTTTATTTGTTTTAATTATATGCATTAACATAAATGAAGCCCCTTACAACAAATGCTATCACCATCCAACATACTTGTATACATACTTAACTATAAATTTATTTATTCATCCATTGTCCATCCAATACTGTCTGAATAATGTGACATTAGGGAATCCAGCAGCAGGTGTGGACAGCTGTTGTCTACCGCCCAGATCCCCAGCTATTACCTACCTTCCAAGGAAGACACATTGTTTAGACGTCTGCACAAGGTGAAAGAGTGACAAGAGTCTTCTATGTCTCCTCCTTCTGGCATGGGGCAGAAGTACGGCGACACTTCTCTCTTCTCTTGGGTTCGTCCCAGGTTGGACCATCCACAGACTGGATCTTGGTTCGTCTCTCTCTGACTGTGTCTGGTTCTTGTAGGGTTGATCATTTCTATGGGGGACTGTAAAACAGTGGCTCTATTTATAGGCTTGATTATATTTGGTGAGTGGCAACAGATGCTTCAGCATGGTTGAACTTTGCTTTGCAGAGCGGGAGTTCTGGATTCCAGGGCCAAGGCTTGTTTATGTTGTAAAATATTTAACCAACACCCTCGGCCAGAAGCCAACGGAGAACCGATACAGACAGACATGGCAGGAGGTGTGTATTTTATTAGAATCTACATTAAGGAGCTATAAGTATACGTACACTCGGCCATAAAGAGCACTGAGGTGGGAATGTGTGTATGTTCTGCTGTTTGATTTATGAGGTGTTCTCAAATTATGTGCCAGGAGTAGAGTAGCCTAGACCACCAGCATATTCCTGAATATGAGCTTTAGTTTTGTCTGGAATGAATGTGGATTTTATGGCTTGTCAACTGTTAGATTTATTGAGAACTAGAGAACATTAAATGTTCCTGAAAATTAATATATATTAATTTTATGTTAATTTACACTATTGAATATCAGTATTTACACCTGAATATGTCATTTTGTTACCATAATGGATTGTTACCATCAAAATATCACATTTGTTATCATATTTAAAAAAAAAATTACAATAAGTAAAACCAGTTATAAAATGGTCAACAATATGCCCAAATCAGGGTTATAGTTATAGTTAAAGCTGCAGTCCGTAACTTTTTTGTGTTCAAAATTTACAAAATTTATATAATAAGCGAGTACACCATTAATCCATTTTCCAAACTGTGTTTTTGGCTTGTCCTGAATCACTACGGTACACCTATAATAAGTGTTTATATTCGGACTATTTAGACTGGTTCGGGTAGGTACCGCTGCGGAGTAGCCCAGTACCTGCGTGATTCGCCATAGACATAAACAGAGAGAAGTAGCTCCGGCTACGATGTTCTTCCGCAAGACACACGCAGTTCTGTTTATTAACCGCTACAGCGCCAAAAGTTACGGACTGCAGCTTTAACTAAAACTGAAGCTAAAATTAAAACCCACTAAACATTTTCATTATTTGAAATAAAATAAATGTCAACTGAAATAAAATAAAATCTTTAAAAAACGTTTTAGTTTAGTTAGTTGCCAAGACAACATTTATCATTTTAATTTAGTTGAACTTGATAACTAATAACTAAAACTAAAACTGAAAAAAAAAAACATTAATAATAATAAAAACTACATAGACATAGATAAAAAAAAAAACTACTAAAATGACAAAAACACACAAAATTATTAAAACTCTAAATAAAATTAAAATGAAAACAGTAATTATAATAGTACAAACTGATTCAAAATATAAATAAAAACTATAATAGTATCTCAGCCATACTAAAATAACACTGGTCCAAACATTTCACCTTAAAAATCAAGTTAAAATCAGTTTTTGCATTAAGAAAATTACACCTATTTTTAATATTTGAAGGATTTTTAAATAATTAACACACACACACATACACATGTATATATATATATATATATATATATATATATGTGTGTGTGTGTGTATGTATGTATATATATATGTATATATATATATTTATATTTGTGTATGTATATATATATATATATATATATATATATATGTGTGTGTATGTGTGTATATATATATATCCCTCTCTGCATGGGTAATGATTGTCTCCCAAGGCTCTTTTCTGAGGCACTGTTTCCGAGGTCAACACATTTTTATTACACAGAGCTTCAGCCTGTTAAGTTATGGAAAAACAATTATAAAATGATTGTGAAAATCGTGAGAAAGACCTTAATACAGATGGTAATGTCTCAAATCTCTGTTTTTCTGTTGATCAGACTGCTGGGCCTCTTTTCCAAGACTTTCGTTGACTTAAATGGGAGCAGTTTGCTGAGTTTAGAAGAAAAAAAAAAGAAATATTACATGGAATGTTTGTTTGCTTTATATAGAAGCATCGCATGAAAAAAAGCTAAAGTCTGTCTCCCTCTACAGAGCAGATAGACCCATTAGCAGTGTCTGTATCTGCTGCGCACTGCTTTTATCTCTCTCCAAATTCACCATCTCTTCATTGTCACTCATAGCCTCTCTCTGTGTTGGGTGTGTAAAGTATAACATATCTGGCTTTGAGATGTCAGAGTGGGTGGTTTGGATGAAGTCCAGAGTAAAGTGCGGAGCTGAGGATATCAGACAGTGAAAACATATTAAGCACTTAAAAAAAAATGTCCAAACATTCACAGCTTTTGAAATGAGTGTAAATATGTAAATTGATTTGTGTAGTGGACACTCTGTTAGAGACACACACACTTCAAGAGACATATTTCCATAGAAAAATCACAAACGCACGCAGTTCTGTTTATTAACCGCTACAGCGCCAAAAGTTACGGACTGCAGCTTTAACTAAAACTGAAGCTAAAATTAAAACCCACTAAACATTTTCATTATTTGAAATAAAATAAATGTCAACTGAAATAAAATAAAATCTTTAAAAAACGTTTTAGTTTAGTTAGTTGCCAAGACAACATTTATCATTTTAATTTAGTTGAACTTGATAACTAATAACTAAAACTAAAACTGAAAAAAAAAAAACATTAATAATAATAAAAACTACATAGACATAGATAAAAAAAAAAACTACTAAAATGACAAAAACACACAAAATTATTAAAACTCTAAATAAAATTAAAATGAAAACAGTAATTATAATAGTACAAACTGATTCAAAATATAAATAAAAACTATAATAGTATCTCAGCCATACTAAAATAACACTGGTCCAAACATTTCACCTTAAAAATCAAGTTAAAATCAGTTTTTGCATTAAGAAAATTACACCTATTTTTAATATTTGAAGGATTTTTGTCTTAGTTGTTGTTTTTTTTGGTAAAATTATTTTATGACTGTCTCTCAAACATAACATAATTGAACAAGAACTTCATGAAACATCTTTATTTTCCAAAAAGGCATCAAAAATACATACATAAATCCATTCTTTAAACAATTATCTACAAATGATGGTTCATATTACATTATTTATGTGACATGATTGCTAAGTATGTTCACAAGTTTCTGTGTGCATGCCTATGTGTGAATATTTATTTTTTAATTTCTTCTCAGCTGCTCCAGGTGAGTCTGAGCCCAGATGGAAGAACGGCAGACTGGGCTGAGAACTTCACAAACACAAGGTTTGAAGAAGCTCTGAACGGGGCGATATTTGTTTCCTCAAAAAAAGCAAAGAATAATTACATATCCACATATAATTTAAGTATAAACACACTACTGTTTAAAAGTTTGTGATCGGTAAGATTGTTTAAAAAAGGTTTTTTGAAAGGAATCTCACCAAAGCTGCATTTATTTGATCAAATATACAGTAGAATATTGTGAAATATTATTGCAATTTAAAATAACTATTTGCTATTTGAATATATTTTAAATCAAAGCTGAATTTTCAGCATCATTACTCCAGTCTATATCAGCAGAAAGAAACATTCGAAAGCTACATCATCATCATCATAATCAGGTACTAGCACAGCAGTATAACACCATACTACTTTTGTAGACTTCTGTATGTATGAAATATTCGGATTACCTGCATTTGCCCACATGTGCAGCAACAGAGCATACTGCACTGGGTACTATATCCCATAATGCAATGCACTCACCTTGACACCTAATTACCAATGCGACAAATAAAGCTCAAGTAATATCAGCTATGATTTTCTGAACAAATGCTAGTATATTTTTCTACATAAAACGGGAGTTATTATTTTTTATTTAACTGTATTTAAGACAAGACAACTGGACAGCTTGCTGGATTAAACATGAATGTAATTAGGTCATGTCAATGTTATTTTAGTATTATTTATATGCTATTAAACTATTTATTAATATTTTGAATAAGATTTTATTTTTATTTGATTTTTATTTAAGGTTTTAAGGAATTATAGGTTTACAATTCAAGTGTGTATTTTTAAATATTATAAATAAAATGTAAACTAAAAATATTTATTAAATATTATATAAATGTTTATTAAATAAAATATAGATTTTAAAAATTTCTAAAAAATCTACTTAGCTTTATATTTACTTCAGTTTTAGTATTTTAAGTTATTGATTTTAGTAATTTTATTAACTTATTTTATTTCCGTTATTTACTAAGGCAACATTTCTAATTTTCATATGTTTTAAATTTAAGTTTTTCATCTAAAATTAATGTTTTAGTTTATTTCAGCAGTCCAAAAAAAATGTCAATAGTTTTACTTAATAACAACACTGGATCATATTTAAGTGACAATGTAGCCTACTACTGTTTAATGATTTTTTTTTAAAAATGAAGTATTTATAAATAAAAGTATTTAGTGTATATTGCACAGTTGGTTGGTAGTATATAGTCTGCTAGTATTTTAATCTGATCAGATTCTAATGTTATGTACACAGTGTTTTGTCCTGTCATCCAATGTACTTATGATACATTTAGGATTCTTTCATTCTGTAGGTATTTTCGTGTTTATTCCTTCACATTGCTGTTGATCTGGTAGCATTTCTATTGTGTTTGTTTCATGCTTCATGTTTATACTCACCTCAAGATAGTCATAGCTGCAGGAAGGATGATTTTCCACATCAAAACTGGGGAAGAACAGAGAGATGGCGCTGTTCTGAGGGGCCTGCAGTACGATGTTGCATTCAAGATTATGAGGATATATGTCAGGCCAGCCTGGGCTCTTAAGATAACCGTATTCCTGTTCATACACCCTGCTGCAACCTGCAGATACATAACGTGCAGACATATACACACACTGACAATATAATCACACCGAGACAAGTAAAACACTAGTAATCACAGGGAAAGGACTCACCTGCCACCTGATATGTGAGGCTGAATCCATTGCCAGTCATGAAGGCTTCTGATTTGAAGGTGATGTGCATGGTGCGGCCATAACTGTAGAACATGTGAGTCTATGCCACAGAACTTATGAGCCTGTCCATAATTTCCCTGAGAGACAAAACAAAAAATGTAAAGACATTGTGCTGCCAATTAAATACAACATAAAAGTGAAGACAGGAAACTTCAATAAACTTGAAAATGTTAGTGTATGATAAATGGCAATGATAAAAGAAAACTATGTTTTAAATAAAATTAAATAGTAAATATAAAATTAGTAATATAAAAAAACAAGTATTAATAATATTACTTTTTTACAATATTTTAAATACATTTTTGAGATCAACTGACATATACAATAAGGTCAAGAGATAATGCTTACTACTGTTTGAAATGTTTATTTGTTATTTAAAGAAAAACATAATAGGCAGTATTAATTAACTAATTTAATACTGAACAGATTTTACTGTTATGTAAACAGTGCTTTGTTCTGCAATCCAGTGTAATCTTGGGATAATTAGGATTGAAACGGTTAAAGCCTATGTCCATAATTGAATCAGATATATCTGAAAACAGCATTTTCGTCTCAAAACGCTCTCCATCCACACTAGCGTTTTCCAAAAGTTGCTCATCCATGCCGACACATAACATACTCTAGTTTTCACATAACATCTTACAACACATAAACAGAATTTTCAAATTTATCCACTTGGGAAAGCATCTTCAAAAAGCTCCTATTTCAATGGACAAACTCATTGCCTCATTGTGAACGGAAGGACAAAACTAAATAAAAAGATGAGGATGTGGCCTAAGAAAATGATCTGATATTGTGACCTGAGAGATTCTAGATTGTTTTAGTTATTTAGTGAGGCTGTGTTTCGGGCGACTGGCTCTCACCACAGGGAAGTCCTTAAACTCCAGGAAATTGCTGGCGCAGCTCTGGCTGGAGTCCAGGTGAAATTGCTGAACAGACACTTTCACCACCTCCTGAGAAGGAGCATCCAGCACCCAGCGGCAAGAGGTGAACGGCGGGTAGGCGTTGGGGTAATATGGGGATGTGATGGTCTGAGATGATGCTGTGGCATTGAATGCTCCTCCACAAAGACCTAAAGTGTGAAAAAACATTTTTGCATGACTGATTCAACATGAAATGACCTGCCATTGGGACAAAAAGTTAAATCTTACTGTCCACTGTGCTGTAGGTGGCATTGAAGCCATGGCGTTGAACGGTGCCGTCCGAGATGAAGTGCATGGTCAGGAAGTTACTGGCCGATACGAAGGGGGCGGGTACTACATCTCCACAGAATGTGCCAACCAGTGGATAATTAGCACTGTCACCATCATAGATCTACAGAAGGGTAAGATGCAAGTATAAATATATAGTGTGTTGGAAATTATGCTGCATTATAATTTATGTTATGTTATGTGTGACAGCTTTTACCTTGACATAATCGTATCTGCAGAGGGATCCAGTGGGGCCCTCGAGCTCAAAGTATGTGAATGTGAGGTTAATGCCTTTATTCCATATGTGGCTCGTACTGGCCATTCATGTCAATATCAGGAGAACCAAACATTCCAGTGGGGGAAGACAGGTAGCCACCACAGCCCTGCTGTGTATTAAATATGTATAAATATGTATGTATGAATTATATATATGATGTAGATTTACATTCACAAAAATAAATAAATATAAGTTAATATTAATATAAGAAAGTAAAAAATAATATAATATTACATATAATATAATATAAATATTTTATTATATTTACAAACATAAATTGAAGTTAATATTATATTAAGTTAATAAAATTTTGATTACACTTAAAATGAAGTTAATTTTATAATAATAAAGTTAATATATAGTTTTAAATAAAAATGAATTAGTGTAAATGCAATAATGTATTGTCAAATTTCATTCAATAAATGAATTAAATGTATATAACTGTTAATGTAAATTCTAACCAGCCACAAAAATACTACGTTTATTTGCATATCAATTGTAGGACACAACAAAAGAATTAGGGGTACTTTATTGGCTCTTTCACAGCACTAGCCAATAAAGACTTCTGTCAGGATGAGGGAACAGACTCTGAGGTCTGAATGAGTTGTGTTGTTCTCAAAGAACAACAGTGGTGGTTGTAGGATGGGGCGGTTCACTCAACACCCCCAAAGACGAGCTACAAAAGTGTTTACAACTTCTCCTTCAAGAGCCTGGTCATCCTGGAGTGACTGGTGCATCAGACACTTTTAAGCACAAAGCTGTTACAAAGAACACCTTGTATGACCCCTGAACACTTTGTTCAGTGCTCAATGAGATCTTTGTCTTTGTGATTCACTATGAAATCATCCACACATTCTTCACACTATTCCAAGATGAGAACCATAAAGGAACAAGGTCAAAGTATCACACATCTTGATCTGTGAGCAACATGACAGTTACAGTCTTTTGAATCAGATGATTAAAAAAAAAAAAAAAAAGGGATTTTCACTGCATTATTATAGAAGAATCATTTTTGGTTCCCCAAAGTAGCTTTCGGTAAATAGTTCTTAAAGGAACCATTTAAAATTCTAATTCTTCAAAATAACTCTTTTCCCACTATAAAGAACCTTTTGTGGAATGGAAAGGTTCCATAGATGTCAAAGTTTCTTCATGGAACCAAACATGCCAATAAGGAACCTTTATTATTAAGAGTGTAGGATGCTGCCTATCTAGGTAGTAGATAGCAAGGAGGCTCATTACGTTTTGTAACAGAGCTAAAATAGGTCGAGGAGGCTTCCAGACTGAAAGAGTTGAACCTATTGGACAGGGAAAAATACATCCAGTTGATGATCAATATGGAAAAGTTGCAGAACAATCTAGTATCTCAGAAAGTGATCCCACTAATCGGAGAGGGGGGGATCCCTGAAAGAAAGCCTCTAGGGACAGATTACGGGTTAAGGGTGTCCTGTCTGGCATCAATACAGGATCTCAGTGGGGTTTTTCTCTCTGAGCATCTGTCTCTCTGGTGGAACATAGCGGGCATGATGAATGCCTAGCAGGATTTGAGCTGTAAAGATTTTTACTTTTATTGCTGTTCTAATTCGGAACCAGAGATCTGTGCCGACCAAAGGGAATGTGGGTGAGGATGAGGGTCTGAAAGTTAAGAATTTGTAGAACATGAGACTTAGAAATCGATTTTTATATGGTCTTAATGTCAAAACCTGCCCCAAGACATTTTCTTGATCATGTATAGGCATTCATTAAGGTTTTCTAGACAATTTTCCACCTGCTGTCTGATCCTTAGAATGTGAATTGTAAATTTGTGAATTGGGACCAAGTTTTAAGTTCTGAAACTTACAAAATGTTTTAATTGTATCTATGACAATATGTTTTCAGAACCTAAATAAAACAATTCCTAATGATATGACTACTTCAAATCACTAGAATTGGATCAAACACACTTCGATGACACGGTTGTCACGAACATATATGTGGTATGTGCAGTTGATGTTGTGATGGTAGTTGGTGATAGAATGAGATGGACTGCTGATTGATCCAGAAGTACCATCAAACGTGCCACCGCAGGCTGTTAAAAACACATAAACACACATATATCGATATATGTACAGTACCATATACACAGTAATCATAAAAACCAACATGTAGGGATGAAATTCATAGGAACAGCCCTAAATGTCTTGTTCATGTGCTTGAGGGTGACAGCTTTTCTTTGAGAAATTTGGGCTGTCTTCCCATACAGCACCAAGTCAAAGAACACTTGACTGTGCATTTCTATTGTGTACCATTTACAGTGAATGAGTTTGTTTGTGGAAGTAACAGTGGAATCTGCATTGGAATTCTCTTGCATATTTGCATATTCTCCCAAATCCCCTCATATTGTTTGAAAAGTGCAGCGTCCTCTCATTCCAGTCATTCTGCTCATTCCACATTTGTGGGCTCAGTGAATTAGATCAACATTACTGCCATGATAAACAACCCAAATTTACTCTAGCACACACTTACATCCAAGCTACACCCCCTACACACCTCCATCTAAACCATATCCTTTATCAGTGTTCAAATGAATGAATTATTATTGTATTCTACTGATTGTCATTTTTTGCACTGATTGTCAGTACAGTATATAGAGAACCAAACAGTATTGCATTAAATGTACAGTTTGTTTTGTGGTTGAGGCTTACGTATGGTTCTGTATTCTGCCAGGAAGCCATTGTCATGGATGATAGAATCAGAGTAGAAGTTGATGAGCATTGGAGAGAGAGAGAGAGAGAGAGAGAGAGAGAGAGGGCAGAGCCCCAAGAAGAGAGAGGCAGCAAAGAAAAGAGAGAGCAAAGAAAAAGAGGTAGCAAAGGAAAGAGCAAGAGCAACAGTTGCAATCTTCTTTTATCCCTTCCTTGACCATGTGACTAAAAACCAAATGTGAGACATGCAAACTGACCAATTAGCAGATTACAACTTCACCCACTGTGCAAAAGGTGTGACAATTAGAAGACCCCCGATATATACACATGTTGGCCTACAGGCCGTGATCGATATCAGCACTTCTGTGCCTTCAGGAATGCCAAATGGCCCTTTTGATTCTCAAGATAGGTTTGGGACAGGAAAGCAGAAGTCTTTGCTCATTTTTGACCCTACAGACACATGTGGAGTGTGCTAGAGAAGATGGAAAGGCATGATTATTCACCTTACAGAACTGCTGTTATCCTCGGAGTTATTTTTAGATTTCTTATGTCAAGATGTATTAATTAAATTAGTGATTTTTGAGGAAGTGCATACCCTCTAATTGGAAAGTTTTAAAAGTAAGCACAACCACGGTCTGATCTCCTGCATCAATAATGTAATTACAGTTGGAGCCTCCCGGGTAGTGGTCTGGGTAGTTTGGAGATACGACACGGCCAGTTGAGGCTGTGAAATTGGCCCCACAACCTAAAAGATGATGTGAAATAGATCCATTGCATTATTTGAATTATTTGTCAGGGGAAGAAAACCTGTCATACACCCTTATAATACATACGAGTGTAGAATGCAGCAGAGAAGCCTTTGCCAGGTGATCTGAGGACTGGAAACTAGCTGTAATAATATTTCGGGGTGCAATGACAGCAGCAGGGGCTGTAGTGCCACAACCAGTGGCCAAGAGATTCTTATCATTCTGTACGTTGTCAGACCACACCTGTCAGGTAAATATAGACAGAATATGGAAAATGAATAACCAGATCCCAAAAAAAACAACATCAGGGAAGGTTTCTTTTTAAATGGTCATCTGTTTACCTTGATGTAACTGTTTTGACACTGTCCACTCGAGTCTGGGATCTGGAAGTCACTGGCAAAGCCCATCTCTAGATGGTTTCCATCATGGGCGATGATGGTCCAGGAACATTCAGTATTGGCTGGGAAATTCTGAGGATAATTGGGAGATTTGATGGTGCCTGTATCAGCATGGATAATTCCTACACATCCTGAAGAAGCTAAAGAAATTTCAGGAAAAAAAAGAAAGTAATTCAATATGTGAAATGTCTACAGAAAGTAGACAATGAGATATCTTTTTTTTTTATACCTGATGAGTCCGTTGACCAGGTGGCAGTAAATCCTCCTCTGGACACCGTATGATCAGCAAGGAACAATACAACTAACTTGTTGGAGCCTGATTGGATAGTTCCTGGAGAGTTGTGGCCACAGTATTGACCAATAACTGGGGATCCTGGTGAGGCTCCATTGAAGACTGTTACAGAGTCCCAGGTGCACTGGCTGTGTTCCTCCATTTCAAAGTATGTAAAAGTGAGCTAGAATATACGGCAATTATGTGATGTTAATGATGAACTTCATTGTTAAGGTTTGAAGAAAACAGTAAAAAAACAGCAGACCCAAGAAGAAGTCTTGACTTACAATGATAGTGTGGCCCACCGGAGCCTCGAGAAGCCAAGTACAGCGGCTTGGGCTGGGGTAGTTATTAGGATATCCAGGGCTAGAGATGGCACCTCCCTCTCCACTTTGTGACCCTCCACATTCTGAGGAAAGTCATAGTCAGTTGAGCTCATGCGGGATTTTAAAGAGCAGAGATCCAGCTCTCTAAGTGTCACTGATTGAAAAATGGTACCTGAAAAGTAATATGTGGCTTTGAAGCCCAGATCAACCACAGCCTCATTGGACAGGAAGTGAACCCAGAGTTCAGGGGTGGACACTACTATGGGGACTGTAGGAGGGGACTGACCACATAAACGACCCAAGAGCTCTCCATTCATATCTCCTGTATACAAAGTACAGATAAAACATGCCATATAACAGCTTTAAAATAGAGTCAAAGTAAATGGTGCATTGGATGGTGTACATAATGTTATTTCTCTTTTACTGCATTTGGAAAATCTTACCCAGTCAGAACTCCAAGCAGTCCCACTCACAAGTTTGGTGATGCTCTAGATGGAGCTCATCTATAATAACCACAATGGAAGAATTAATATGATGTGGGTTGTGGATTAACCATTCACAGTTCAGGTTGTTGCTGTAGTTTCCATTGCCAAAGTCAGGCGAGGTGAAGTTTCCAGGTTCACTGAGTATCCCACCACACACTACCAAAAAGACAAAGATTCACCAATCAAATCAGGATCCAAAAACAAACAAACAAAAAGCATATACTAAAGTTCTTCTCTCTCACCTGCAGCCTCCTCTGAAGAGTAATCTGCCGTGAATCCACCATTAGACACAGATGAATCAGTGCTGAAAATTACAAGCATAGTATTCCCGGAAGATTTCAACTGGGTACCAGCAGGGACTGTCCCACATAACCGACCCAAATGTGGGGCACTGGGTGTCAGACCATTTATGACCTACCAACCCAAGAATCAAAACAGCAAAGTAGTGTTAAAGCACTGAATTGAACAATATTCAGAGAAAGCAATACATAGCTTGAATGCTGGGTTAATACAGAATGTCCAACTTTTTGACATCTCTAAAAAATACAGATGACTTCACCTCCACATAGTCAAACATACAGGTGCCGTGCTCCTCCAGCCTCAGGTCATTGATCGTAAGAGTGACCCTACGACCCGGAGGAACAGTGATTCTCCAGCGGCATACTCGGCTGTGGGGGTACAGATTGGGGTAGTTGGGAGATGATATCGTCCCGAATGGTGCGTTCAGATCCCCTCCACACTCTATAAGAGCAACAATAGCTTATCACCAGTTACCGATGGAACTGCTCAATAACCAACAGCACAACTATGTAGGTATAAATGTTTTTATCCAAAACAATTAGTCATGAGCTTTACCCACTGGACTATATGACCCTAACTGGACACTGTAAGGATTTAAACACACTTGCCTTCAACGCTGGCTTCAAAGGATAAACTAAACCCTGCAGCATTCCCGCTGCCATCACTGACAAACTTTACATAGGCAAAACTTTCTCCAGTGTCCAGGGGAGCAGGAAGGCTGTTCCACAGTGTTTCTCCAGCAAGCGACCTGATGAGAAAGTAAAGCTTAGTTTACTATCCTCAACAATCAGAAAGACTCAACTCGCTTTTGTGTAAGAAGAACCCAAACCTGAAGCATTGTATTCTCGTATCTCCACATAGTCATTGTTACAATTGGAAGAGCTCTGCAGGTCAAGGGTGGTATAGGTGAGGGTCAGGTAGTGTCCAGTGGGACCTTCCAGGTACCATTCACAGTTAGAGTTGTCTGGATAATTTGAGTCTGGATAAAAGGGGCTTCTAATGATACCACTCTGGCCAATGAGGGTACCTCCACATGTAGCTAAGAAGGGAAAGAATACTCTTTAAACCATTGAAACATTGAGTTTGGTTGGAATGGAATGGTTGGAAAAATGGTTGGAATGTCATGGGGATTCAAAGTGGATTACCAATGGAGTACTTGGCTTTAAAACCAATATGTGTGATGCTGCCGTCAGTTCGGAATCGTATATACATAGTGGTGCCGGATGAATGCTGTGTAGATGGACGGGTGTTGCCACAAAGTCTTCCCATCAAAGTAGCATCTGATGTGGGACCATCACAGACCTCGATGTAGTCATACATACATCTAGGAGAGAAGATTGTGATTATGGTCAAACAGTTACATGTACCAAAAGTTAGCAATTTGATTGTTCAAAATATATTAAACATACCCGGTATGAGCCTCAATGTAGAAATCACCTTCAAAGTCAAGTTGTACAGTCTCCCCATTGGGAACAGTGATTATCCATACACAGTCGATATTTTGGGGGTAGTTTGATGGATAGTTAGGAGACGTGATGTAACCTAGTGGATCTCCATCATTAAGCTCAATGAAACCACCACAAGCTGGAGACAAACATAGATTTACTCTTATTTATTCTTAAACCATTTATTATCAAATGAATCAAAATGACTGGAATATTCTATATTAGTTAAAAGTATTTACCTAAACTGTGGGCCTCAAATACCAGTTTGAAGCCATTCCCCTCATTGGAGCCATCAGAGACAAAATGGGCATAGAGGCTGGTGTCTGTGGTCTGAAATGTGGATGGAGCGCTGTACCCACAGAGACGCCCTGATAGAGTCGGTGAGTTGCCATCAGGTCCGTTCCGTTACTAATACAAAATAATCAATCAATTTAAAGCTTTTCCCTCATATGCAAAAGGACAATTTGCATGATGTACAGGCAACTTCTTCTATAGTCACTCACCTCCAAGTAGTGTACCTGTGCTGCATTGATTGCCATAACCCTGTATTTGGAAAGGACTTTGGAAAGTTACGGACACTCTGAATCCTGGGGTGACCATTACTTGCCAGTTGCAGTTCACTTAGAACCCCTCTGTCTGTATGGAGGAAACCACCGCAACCTGATGGAGAAGGCAAAAGAAAAATAGCTCAAAGTCCAACTATAGATGTATAATATACAGCAAACTTATACCATCATCATGATAAGAATTTGACTCATGGACATGCTGTTCACCTCTGGAAAAGGTGGCATTAAAGCCCCTGCCATTAATGCTGCCATCAGAGGTGAATCGAAGGAACATGGCATCACCAGTAGAGTGCAGAGAGCCAGGCAGCTGCCGCCCACAAACACTTGCAATCAGTGGAGACAAGTTGATGTCACCTTAAAAAAACAAAAAAAAAACAAACAACAACCTTATATTAAGTCGTTAAAGTAAGCCTTTCCCTCCAATCACAGTGTCAGATTTAAACTCAAGCGTTATAGTGCTGCCTGAACTTCTTACTGGGTTGGGCAAAGTCAGGCCGCAGAACTCACCCAGTAGGAAAGCATTGGTGCTCGGACCATCATATATCTAAAGAAGGGAAGCACTGATCTTCATATGCCTGCATTCGCTTATTTTCTGTTAAACCATTATAGCATTTAAAAGTTATGTTTTAAACAAGAGTGCAGACCTTGAGCTTGTCATAATAGCAATTGAAGAGATCCTCAATGTCAATGTCCAGGAACTGAATCTGGATGTGGGAATCTGAGTCCACTGTGACAGTCCAGTGGTAGTCAGCATTGTTTGGGTAGGTGCGTGGGTAAAGAGGGGAGGTTATCTGTCCCGAGCTGCCCGTGATCTCATTTCCATACACTGAGGATTCAGGAAAAGAGTAAAGATATTCTCATTTAAGGTTTTCTAACTTCAGGAGATTTTAACCAGCAAGACTTCTTTGTACAACCATAGCCAAGGTTTTTGGTGCACAGAATGACTATTCAGGCCCAGGAAACCATCATTAACCAACACAATCACCCTGGACTAGAATGGAAATTCAGGCTAGTCTTAGTTGGTATTTACAGCAGGGTCCACATGAAAAAGAAAAGAGTAATCCATTGCTCTGACTACAGTGGGAGAATACTGCTCTAAATCCAGCTCCGCTGACTGAGGAGTCAGAGACAAACTGGATCCAAAGAATGTGGCCCATTATAGAGGTGTAGTTGGAAGGAAGGGAATCACCACAGAAACGACCGTCCAGAGTACCAGTGGAGTGTCCCTCACGAACCTCTAGGTAGTCATTACTGCAGTCTGAACTTTGTTGCAGCTGGAACATTCTGCATCACAAAAAGTACAGCACTGTTTGCTTTGATAAATCCATTACATTTGTGAGATCAATATAACATCCTGATTGGCTTACATGAAAGATAGTTGTAGACGGTTCCCAGGGGAACTAGTGATGGTCCACACACACTCCACATTAGGTGGGTATACATCAGGATAGTTTGGACTGTTAAAAGCACCTGACTCCATATACAGATGTCCCCCACAGCCTGGAAAAACAGGTAACTGAATAGTGTTAAATTGCAACCTAACTTGAGTGAAAAATTCATATGTATTTTGAAACAAATACTGAAATCTAACCTGAGGTTGAGGCCATGTAGGTTGCTCTAAAACCTTTCCTCCCTACTGAAGCATCTGAGATGAAGTTTACCACCAGGGCATTGCTGAATGAAGTGACTGGGTGTGGCAACTCATTCCCACAGTAACGACCTGGAAAAAGGTTACTAGTTACTACTAACCATAACTGCATCAGCATTTTATGAAACATTTAAACTGTCACCTGAACAATAAGTATCCTAACCAAATAAAATGTGATAAAGTGTCAAAAGCTAGATCTAATTTCTGATATATATACACACATATATAGGTGATATCCTATTGCAATCAGAGTATGTCTTTGGCTGTTCCTCAAGGAAGAGATCTTTACCAACAGATGGGGCTTGGTAATTGTCTCCATCCAGAACCTCCACACTATCATGAGAGCAGTTACTATACACCATCTCAACCTCAAAGTCGGTGAAGGACAAAGTCACATGATTAACTGAAAGAAATATAGGACAGTAGAGATCAGAGAATCTGTTAAGATACATTAAAGGCAATACAAGGAAGTAGTTTTGCAAAAAGCCTTGGTTTTGAACTTGAGATTATGGATGCCAAGTATGACCAGCAGACTTACATGGCTCCTGTGCCCGTATGATCCAGCTACAGTTCTGATTGGGTGGGTAAGAGTATGGATAGCGAGGAGATGCAATCTCCCCACCCACATCATCAGCTGTTATAGTGGATCCACATGCTGGAAGTCATAAGAGTAATCAATGAGATTTGAAACAAACCATGACAAAATCATGTGGGCTCACCAATGAAGATTGCACTCACCTTCTGAGAACTGGGCACTGAAGCCTTTATGGTTCTCACTGTGATCAAACCTGAAGCGAACATAGATGACGTTTGTTGTGGACATAATGGGAGAAGGCCTGGATACTCCACAAAATTTACCCAGGAGTGGAGAAGACTCATGTGGACCATCATGGATCTAGAGAGTAGAACATGATTCTTTTGTCCATAAATTGGTCTAAACTGTGATGCATTGGTCTGTAACATCATGAAATCACAAATGTTGCCACCGTGGGCATTAAATCCATTATCCGCACACAGAAAGGTCAGCTACTCACAGCCACGTAATCAAAACCGCACGAGCTGTGACTTTCAACATCCAGATCAGTGAAGTTGAAGAAGACTCAATGCCCTACATCCACTGTGATGACCCAGGAACAGTCAACATTGTCAGAATAGTTGCTAGGATACTGTGGAGAGTGGATCTCTCCACTGGGGGCCGTGACAATCCCTCCACATCCTGAATTTTCAAAGGTAAGATTTTAAGAAGTTCATTAGCAAAGTCTCAAAATAATATAATGGCATAGTATTCAACTACAGATAAAAAAAATCTACAATTGTCAGTTGACTAACCTCCAGGAACCTCTAGCCAGGTTGCGCTGAAGCCTCTGCCACTCACGACGGCATTAGATGTGAATCGAACGGTAACAGCGTTACCTGTGCTGGCCACCTGCAGAGGGTTATTGGGAGGGCGTGTGTTTCAGAGCTGGGCCAATCGTGGGGAGGAGAGGTCAGGCCCTCCATACACCTGGATAAAGGTCAAAGGTGAGGGGATACTTACACACTAGCCTTTTTGAAGACCAAGGTCATTTAAAAATGTCTGAAAGTCACTGCATTAGACAACAAAATATCAAACTACGTGGGTTCAAAAAACAAACAAAAATGGTACTAGAGATTTTCTCAGACCCAACTTGACTGTTTATTGATATCATGACTTTTAACCAACTAGTCCCACAGATTAATATAATTCTATTAGCTATGGACATTTTTTCACAAAGTTTGACTACCAGAAAGTGTCAAAATATCAAATTTGATCAATTTTGAACAGTCAACTGTTTTATATTGTGAAATGTTTTGCATGAAAAGTGTGCTTGTGCTGTCTTTAAGATAAATACCCCTTTCTTTTTAAGACAATCATACATATCTAACTGTTAGGTGTCCAAATATCGCAGATTGTCTCTGTTTTCTCTGTTGTGATGAGCAAGCAAACAAGCCATGTAATAAACCATGGGCCACTAAAATGAATGCCATTTTAAAACAATGTCTGGTTTTGGTCTGACATCTGTGCGGCACAGAAAGTGTATGTTTGTGTGCATGTGAGACTGTCGCTAAGCCCTCTCTCTAAGCTCTGATTTCCAGTTCATTTCTGCCCTATTGGCTCCATTCAGTGCTACAGTGGAGGTCAGCATTCCACATTTCTACACAACAAAACAAACAGCCACAGAATCCAGCCGATGCCAACGGGGTATGAGCAGGCACACACCCATATAAACACACACACACACACACAAAAAATCTCAATGATGGACAAGTGAGTCATTTTAGTGAACAGAATATCACCTAACACTTATTAAAGGTAATAATTCAGAATATAAATCGAGGAATACTTGAACACTACTTACTGGGCAGTATGTACTATATACTGTCTTTAAAAAAAAAAAAAATAGCATGAAGTATGTAACAATAAGCCAACTAGTTTGTTAGATGACGTAAACAGCAATAGGAAAAATCACTTGATATTGTTTCCAGTTCTTTCGTCACACTGGAAACTGAAGGTAGTTGAGTGCACTGCATTGTGGGATACATTATCTCATGTAGTGTTCTCAGGTTGTAAATGCAATAGGGCATATTGAGTGCAGACAGATATTATAACAGATATACAATTTTTTTTGCATACCTCCAGCTTGTCATAGTTGCAGTCAGGATGATACTCCACATCAAACTGAAGGATGGTAATGGAAATGCTACTTCCAGGGCTTGTTTGGATGTGCCAGATACACTCACGGTTTGCTGGGTATTTGTCCGGATATCCTGGGCTGGTAAAAGCACCAGTGGGCCGAATGAGTTCCCCACCACAACCTGCAGGGGGTAACAGTGAGGTACTTTGACTTTTTCTTTGCCTGTTTTTAATCAGGGATCCACATGAAAGTGCACAACAGAAATTCTGATTCAAATATGACAATCTTTTGTATAAATAGAAGGTAACCAAAAGTACTATGGCACATTTTTTTGGACATGGTATTATCATCTTATATCACTACATTATATTTTGTAAGTATGGCATTATACTTTATAACTTTGTTTAATCATGTCAATTCTTGTAAAGTGTATCTGTGTAAATGTGGTCAGGGATGCTGAAGTGGACAGATAGTTGCATTACAGTGTTCAGACAGGAAAAATGTCTCACGTCAAGCTTATCAGAGGAAATATGAAACCATATTGACCCTCACTGCAAGAAAGGCAGTAGCAATAAGACTAAAATGTGGTCAGTGTAATGTGATATTCAAAAAATATCGGTCAGAACGGATTCATTTTCTCCACCCCCACTGTCTTAATCAATAACATCAATCTCAACAACAGCGTCCACAGGTCTGTGAGAGGACAAAGGAAGGGTGGAGCTACTCTTTCATTTTCAAAATGGATCAACTAGCTCGTGGCCATGAAATACATTCATTTTGTTGAATTTATGAATTTCTACAGCATCTGCATTATTTAATCCCTCAATTTCCCTTTTTTTTTTTTTTTTTTACTTTCACTTTGTATAATTAACTGAGGTTAAAACGTTCACCGGCATAACTCTTGTGCAAAGTTTGCACGTTGCAGCCTTCATGGTTTAG